CCGATTCCCCAGCACGGGGTCTGAAGGGACGGATGCTCTCAGATGCCCTTGGCCCCCCGGCCTGCTGTATGCCTTCCCCCCGCTTCCCCTTATCCCGAGGGTGGTACGCAAAATCCTGTCGGAGGGTGCAGAGGTACTCCCCATTGTCCACAATGACAATGTGCATCCATCCTTTATCTCCTTGACTTTTCAGTGGGTTTTCAATACCATTAACCATGGTATTATTTTGAGGCAAGTGCAGTATTTGCAGCTGTGTAACCAGAATTCTAGACAGATTTCTGGGATAGAAGTAGTATTGGTTGCCCTTGTAGATGATCTATGGCAAGGACAGGATGATGATGGGCATCATCTTTGATCTCCTCGACTTTTCTGTTGCTTTCAATACCATTAACCATGGTGTTATTTTGGGCCATCTGTTGAATGTGTGCTGGGCCGCTGGTCTTGCGTGCGTTCTATTTCATTTCTCCAAGGCCGCTACTAATGAGTGTAATAGGGAATGAGAGGGTCAGTCCACAGCTTCTCCATTGAGGCATGCCAAAAGGCTCGGGGTCCTCTTCTACTCCTTTTTTAACACCTACATCAATATGCTGATAATTAACTTTACATCAATACTCCTGGTGATCCAATGGTACTGCTGGCCTCCTTAGTGCCCTGGAGGTTGGGGGGGTGGGTCTGGAAAGGGGACAACAAACTTTGACTGGAAAGAAGCCCAAGTTGTTTGGATGCATGGAGCTTCCGGCTCCGGGACTTTAACACCTTTAGTTCCTGCAAGAGGTTGCAGGTCCAGCTATAGGACAGAAGTAGCATTGGTTGCACTTGTGGATGATCTATGGCAAGGACAGACCAATTTGGTGCCTGATTCCTGATTCCTCTTGCTTGCTGACCGGCTGCAATCATGAGACCATTGCACAACTTCGTGTTGTATGGCAGTTTTCCCCTTTCCTGAATGAACATTCCTTATATTGAAATTAACATCACTGTCCACCATGGCTGATGAAACCCTCCAGGATAGTACTATTGATTGCCCTTGTGGATGATCTATGTCAAGGACAGGATAATGATGGGCATCATCCTTGATCTCCTTGACTTTCAGTGGCTTTAAAAGGATCAGCCATTTTCTCCTTTTGGGCCATCTGCTGAATTTGAAGTTCGGCATGTTCTTGCGTGGGTTCGACTCCTTTCTCCAAGGCCGGTCCTAATGAGTGTTAATAGGGAATGAGTGGTTCAGTCCACAGCTTCTCCATTGAGGCATGCCAAAGGGCTTGGGATCTCCTTCTACTCCTTTTTAACACCAACATCAATATGTTGATAATCAGCTTTACATCAACACTCCTGGTGATCCAACTGGAACTGCTGGCCTTTCTAGTGCCTGAAGGTTGTGGGGGTCTGGAAAGGGGACAACAAAGAAGCCCAAGTTCTGCTTTGGACAGAAACAGTATTGGTTACACCTGTGGACGATCTATGGCAAGGACATGATTCTTGATAGATAAATGAACATTCCTTATATTGAAATTAAGATCCTTGTCCCCCATGGCTGTTGAAACGCTCCAGGATAGTAAGGATCTTGCAGGATCAGACAGTGAAATTCCTCACTGGAAGAGGGAGCATTTCCGGGATCTTATAAGGAAGCCTCTGCTTGCCACCCCTTTAAAATATTTTTAATCCCACATTCTCCCATCTTCCCTTTTTAGAGGTGATGGAGTAGAAGGTGGAATGTTTGGGAACCTTAGAGGATTCTGGATGAAACTGATTCCTTCAAGTCAGGTTTCAGATCCAGCTATAGGACAGAAGTAGCATTGGTTGCACTTGTGGATGATCTATGGCAGGGGTCAGCAACCGTGGCTCTAGAGCCACATGTGGCTCTTTCTTCCCTCTGCTGCGGCTCCACAATTGTTAGGGATTTCGGTTAGAATAGGTAGAGGAAAAAGGATGCCACACTAGGAGGAGATTATATGGTGAGGGAACTGGACTTCTGGTCACTCCAGAATTGAATGGTGGAATTCCGGTTAGGACCTTTCTGGCTCTTTGAGTGTTTAAGGTTGCTGACCCCTGATCTATGTCAAGGACATCCTTGATCTCCTTGACTTTTCAGTGGCTTTCAGTTCCATTAACGATGGTGTTATTTTGGGTCGGCTGCAGTATTTGCAGCTCTGCAACCAGAATTCCATCCAGATTTCTGGGAAAAATAGTATCGGTTGCCTTTGTGGATGATCTATGGCAAGGACAGGATGATGATGGGCATCATCCTTGATCTCCTTGACTTTACAGTGGCTTTCAATACCATTAACCATGGTATTATTTTGGGCCATCTGTTGAATTTGTGCTGGGTGGCATTCGATTCCTTTCTCCAAAACCGCTACTAATGAGTATTAATAGAGAATGAGAGGTTCAGTCCACAGCTTCTCCATTGAGGCATGCCAAAGGGCTTGGGTTTCTCTTCTACTCCTTTTTAAAACCTACATCAATATGCTGATAATCAGCTTTACATCAACACTCCTGGTGATCCAACTGGTACTGCTGGCCTCTCTAGTGCCTGAAGGTTGTGGGGGTCTGGAAATGCAACCACAAACTTTGACTGGAAAGAAGCCCAAGTTCTGCTTTGGACAGAAACAGTATTGGTTACACCTGTGGATGATCAAGGACATGATTCTTTGTAGATAAATGAACATTCCTTATATTGAAATTAAGATCCTTGTCCCCCATGGCTGATGAAACGCTCCAGGATAGTAAGGATCTGGCGGGCTAAGACAGTGAAATTCCTCACTGCAAGAGAGGGCATTTCCGGGATCTTGTAAGGAAGCCTCGGCTTGCCACCCCTTAAAATATTTTTTAATCCCACATTCTCCCATCTTCCCTTTTGGGGGGTTCTGGAGTAGAAAGTAGAGTGTTTGTGACCTAGGAATCAGGATGAAACATTCCTTATAGTCAGGCTTCATTTCCAGCTATGGGACAGATGTAGCATTGGTTGCACTTGTGGATAGTCTATGGCAAGGACACAATGACAATGTGCATCCATCCTTGATCTCCATGACTTTTCAGTGGCTTTCAATGCCATTAACAATGGTGTTATTTTGGGTCGGCTGCAGTATTTGCAGCTGGGCAACCCAGAATTCCAGTCAGGTTTGTGGGACAGAAGTAGCACAGGTTGTCCTTGTGGATGATCTATGGCAAGGAAGGATGATGATGGACATCATCCTTGATCTCCTTGACTTTCAGTGGGTTTTGAAACCATTAGTCATGGTTTTCTTTTTGGGCCATCTGTTGATTTTGTGCTGTGCAGCATGGTCTTACATGGGTTAGATTCTAGCAAGGTCATGATTCTTTGTAGATAAATTAACATTCCTTATATTCAAATTAAGATCCTTGTCCCCCATGGCTGATGAAACGCTCCAGGATAGTAAGGATCTGATGGGCTCAGACAGTGAAATTCCTCACTGCAAGAGGGGGCATTTCCGGGTGGCTTTTGAAACCATCAGCTATGGTTTCTTCTTGGGCCATCTGCTGAATTTGAGCTGGATGCTATGGTCTTGTGTGGGTTCAACTCCTTTCTCCAAGGCTGATCCTAATGAATGTTAATAGAGAATGAGAGGTTCAGTCCACAACTTCTCCATTGTGGCATGCCAAAGAGCTTAGAAGATCCTGGATGAAATGGATTCCTTCCAGTCAGGTTTCAGGTCCAGTTATGGGACAGAAACAGCGCTTGTTGCACTAGTGGATGATCTATGGCAAGGACAGGATGATGATGTACATCCATTGTCTCTCTCTCTTAGTGTCTTTTGATATCATCAGTCGGGGGAAAGGACTTGCTTGGTCATCTGGGAACAGTTCTATTCTGTTGGATTTGGTTCTCAAGACTGTCAGTGCAATCATCTATCAATTAGATCCTTGTCCCTCCTGGTTAGTGAAAGTTTCCAGGACAATGACTAGAAGGTGGGTCCAGGCAGGAATGAGACCCACTTCTCATTGCAGGAAGGCATATTCTCAGGCTCTTTTAAGGAGATCTTAGTTTGCCCTCTCCTTTAATAAACATCACCGGATCCCTCCTATCTGGACAACGTCTGTCCAGTCTATATACAAGGTGAAATATTTTGCAATTTTAGAAGATCGTGGATGAAATGGATTCCTTCCAGTCAGGTTTCAGGTCCATTTATGGGAAAGAAACAGCAGTGGTTGCACTAGTGGATGATATATGGCAAGGGCAGGATGATGGTCTACCTCCATCGTTGCTCTCCTTCACTTCTCATTGGCTTTTGACAAATCAGCCATGGTATCTTTTGGGGTCATCTGTCAAAGTTTTAGTCAAGCCTTCATTCCTGTTGGCCCCTGTCGTTCATAGAGGAATTATGGGTTCTTAAATGGGTTAATGAATGCCTGGGACAGTGTTGGAAGAATATGAGGGATGACTGACTGGACATGACTTCCATCTTTGCTCTCCTTGACTTCTCAGTGGCTTTTGATACTATCAGCGATGATATCCTTTGGGGCCATCTGTTGAATTTGGGCTGGACAAGATGGTTTTGTATGGGTTCGACTCCTTTCTCCAAGGCTGGTCCTAATGAGTGAGGGAATGAGTGGCGCGCTCAAAATTACTTTATAGCTACTGGTGAAAGTTAGTCATGGATTAGTTGATTCCATCATTTCCTATCAGAGCACAAGGTAGTTGTAGTGAAACATGAGTTCAACTCCTTTCTCCAAGGCCAGTCCTAATGAGTATTAATAGGGAGCGAGAGGTTCTGTCCACTGTGCGGTCTTGAGAAATTGGCTAACCCGTGCCAGAAGAAGCATGTTCCTTCTGCCAAAGAATTTCAGTTGGTGGGGTCCTGAAGACCCTTTTCTGCCATGACTCCTTCCTTCTGGACCATCTTGCCCCTGAAGCTAGATCTGCTCTTCCCTTTTTGGTCTTCCAAAAGGTCTTGAAGACATGACTATGCCAACTAACCAGGATCCCCAATTGATAATTGTTTCTTCACTGCTGATACCTCTATTTCCTTTCATTTCAGAGTGTTATGAACATGATGCATGTGATAAGCATCCCATATTCCTTAATGAAAGTGAACCCACTTTCATGGATACAGAAGGTGTGCCAGTACAAAGGTAAGGGTGATAGCTACATCAATCTATGTTGTGGGAGCAGGAGGTAGGCTTTATTGTATTAAACTGGCAAAATAGAAGTCATCCCTCTTTGCACCTTTTTTACACCCAATCTATGAAAGATTGGCTTGTAATATTATAAAAACTGAAAGTCCAAATTGAAGTCCAATTTGTCTGCCAGTTGATCATACCTTATATATTATGGACATTTAGTAGTGGAATTATATCTTAAATATCTTGGATTGTTTATTGCATATTTTAGTGGAATTATGTCTTAATTCATTGGTCATTTTTCTCTTTCTTTTACATCTCTCAGCAAAAGTAGCCTGTGTAAAATCCAGAGATATGCACTGGGCATTAGTAGCACACAGAGATCAACGTGATATCAACCTCTCTTCACTTAGAATGTTGATAGTGGCTGATGGCGCCAATCCATGTAAGTGATAAGTATGGAACAAATAATACAGTCCATTTGGCTTTACTGTTGGACATTCTATGTCAACAGTTAATGAAGCCACTAAAACAAGGATATTTGTCTGTAATCTTAATGTATCATTTCCTGAGATATCTTGTCTGTTCTTTCTCTTTTAAATGGGAGCCTAAAAATATTTCTATTCCAGAATCCACCAAAAAATTATATTTCAAAGTTTCATTTCTTTAGTGATATCCTAAAGCAAATCAAATATTTCACAGTACTATAAACTAAAGCAGCATAGTTCTATATAATTTGGCAGGCTGTTATATAAAACTTGAGTCAAATTTCTCCTTATAAAAGAGCTGAAGGTTTGTCAGGAAATCAGTTGAAACTAGGCATCAATAGTGGTGGTTTCTGTCCTTGGTCAAATACAGGCATACAAAACACGAACTATATTTGATCACATATTTTTACAATTTTAAATATCCCAAACGTGAGATCCAAGGCAGCTTATATAAGTATTAAGATACCTTTTTAAGTAGATTAAAACCATGATCCAAAAGCAAGTTAGAAAATTAAATTGAAATTGATTGAATCTCCAGTGGGGAAAAAAAACCCAATTTTTACTTGGTGAAAAATGTAATAAAGGAACAAGGGAGATAGTTCAACATCTTAGTTTCAGCACTGAGATGTTACTATCCTTAGAATTTTCAGATTCTAAGATCCTCTATTCATAATGGACATTGTTGAGTATTTCATATAAAATATTGTGGGTTTTAGGTTTTTATCTATGGCTGCAAAACTCAAAACCAGTATATTATATAGGAAATATATAGTAACTAGGATTTAAAAGGTTTTTCAAAGTAGCTGATTTTAGTTGGACATCATATGTATGTTTTGTACTGTGACATGTCTGACCTTACAAAATGATACAAAATGAAAATTGAAATTCAATTATTACAAGCAGAGGGTATACAAATGCTTTTTTTTGAAGCCATATATGAAGCTCTGTACAAAATGGAATGATCTTCATGTACCCAGTACAGGTAATATCCTGCAATAGAAATGTAATTTCCAGAACAATATTTGGTTCTGCACATAGTTTCATTCCATTGTATATAAACAACTTGATTATACAATACCGACTCAGTTAGTCTTAAGAGCTAGTTGCATTTGGGGGCAGAAGTATGCTCAGCACATTTCAATCTTCTCCTCTGGACAAAATAAGTTGAAATGAGGGTTGGTATATTAGAGACTCGCTTTAGGCACATCTATAGCTTTTAACCCACAGGTCAATTATTTGCAATCACGCGGTGAATTTATTGATTGGTTAGCATCTAGATTTCTATTTTGGAAACCTCCTATTTAAAATTTGATTTTATTATTTTTTTTGTGAGGAACTATTGATTATTGCACATAGAATGATATTATTGTCTGTGTATTTTTTAACTCCAGGGTCTATTTCTTCATGTGATGCATTTCTAAACGTCTTCCAAAGTAAAGGCCTAAGACAAGAAGTAATCTGTCCTTGTGCCAGTTCACCAGAGGCTCTCACGGTGGCTATTAGAAGGTATTGTTGAGTCAAATATAAATGTGAAATCCTGAAGGGCAATGAAGTTTAATGGAAACAATCTTGGAATAACAATAGGAGAAGGAGCATTATACACCCTCTTTATTTTTTTTCCTATTCCTCAGTGGAAACATTTGTTCAGCACTATTGTAACTTTAAATCGCCTTAAAACAACTGGTCATTAAGCAGGACTGCTTAAAGTGAAAAATTTCACATGTCTGTTGTATGGGGGTTCAAAGACTTTTGGAGTATTTGTGTACTTTATGGCAGATGGGCATTTTGTACCTGCATGAAACATTTTTCTAGACACTGAGCTTAGCTTGTCAACCTAAATGTTTGCAATTTGAGACCCAAGCACCACATGACAGGGTGAGTTCTTTTCTTGACCCAGCTTTTGCAAATATGATTGTTCAAGAACATAAAAGTTGAAGTAGAATTGTAGGTACAAGTGGGAAAGTTGCAGCATTCTGTACACCTCGGCATATAGTCATGCCATCCACATGACCATGAACGAAATGAGCTCCACCCTCTAGGGAAAACTTTTTAGCTCTTGCTATATGTGATTTTGTTATCTGTGCCTGGAATGAAATCCTCACAAAAAAGTTGACCAATTGTGTTTAGATAATTGTGTCAATTTTCTGTATGCCGGCTTTGACCTTTAAAGCGTTCCATTTTTGAAATGTTGAAATACACTATTGCAAGATTGTGTCAGTCTAATATCCTTGGATTTGTTTCAGAAGATCATGGACAGATTTTTGTTCAACTTAATACTATCCAGCTCTTAGATATTTGAGACTATTCTCCCATTCTTTGGCTCTTCAGTTGTAAATTAAGTTTTTCAATCATAATAATATTAATAAACAGCAATGGAGAAATATCTATGAGTCTCATATATAAAAGCTACCTGAGAAGGCATCAAACATATTCTAGAGTGATACTCTATGAGTCATAGTCATAGACATAGTCTATGAGACATAGTCAAAAAAATAGAATAGTATGGTTTAGTGCCCAAACTGCAACTTTGGGAAACAAATTCAGACATCTGTCCATTGTATGAATGTAGGCAAGTTACAGTATCTTTAGTTTAACTATCGCATAAAGGTTTTGCAAGCAAAACAGAGATAAGAAAAAATGCAAGTCCTTGGAGAAAGAACAGATGTTCATATCATGATAATCTCCATTTCTAGATTATTTCCTGTTGATACATGTCATTCAATTCAAGGTAACTTCAGTATGGAATGACCAGCTACTAATGATACAATATGAAACTTTTTCCAGATGTTTACTGCAATAAAGATAACTGCTTAAATTGAAGTCCTTGGTCAGAACTTTTCTCCCTGACTGAAATTCAACTTGATGTTTGTAGGCATAGCCCTACAAACATCATAGTCCATAGCTGAACTATGAATCCAAAATCTTTTTATATTAGTTTTAAACTTTGCTTCAGTTAGTTAACTATCCAATAATACTCTGTCTTTTTGAAGTATTTAGGAACTATTATATGGCAATCGAGAGCAATGTTTCTCAACTTGAATAGGTGTGGACATCAATACCCCAGAGTTCCACGACCAGCTTGAGAAACACTGTTCTTAGACTTTTCCATCATTCAGTATATTTTTATAACAATAACTTCGCCGATTCCTACTGAAAATATATTACTGTAATGAGTCCAACATCTGTATGGGAAAGCTGAACATAAATTTACTTCCTCTGATGAGGTTACAGTTATGCCTAGTACTTGCAACTTGCTTATATCAATATTAGGCGTAGAGGTTACTGGAGTACAGTAAATCTCTTCCATCCTTAATATGGCGGGTGTTCTCATTCCAAGATCATCTTACAAGCAACCAAAGTACATGTGGAGGGTTAAAAATTTATCAATATCCTGGTGAAATGTCCCTCCAAGGTAAAGGGAATGCCATTAATCATTGCCACCCAGTTAGCTGCCTCTCATTTGTTACTCCCTAATGTACATTCAATTCAATCTATAGCTAGCATACGTGATCCTTTTACTGGGATCATATTAAGGGAGCAGCAAAGGCTTTTTAGAACCTTTTAATCAAAATTTATGGAGCCTATCGTTCTCTAATTAATCTGGGTACCATCCAGTTTTTCAAGTATCACTGAGATCCACCATTATAATTTAAGAGTAAACATACAGCTGAGCTTTTTCTTATGACAACTTGTCAAAGACATAGGAACATACCAACATCAATGTTTGGTATGGATTTTGTCATAAAATATTTTTCTGTGGAGGAATCATTAAAAGCAAACATTGAATTTCTTTCCTATATGTTTTTGAACTTGAGTTTTGCACAAGTAAATAAGAAAAATCATTTCAGGACTGGACTGTGTCCCTATCTGATGATGGGAAACAAGTGATTCAAAGAACTTAGATTAAAACCCCTGGCTCAATGCCTGTTTGCACAGCCTGGCTGGTTGTGGAAAGGTTTCTCCTTCAAAAGCCAGCAGTATAGGATTTAAGTGGTATGTTAAAGGGCAGCACAACAATAATGAAGAAGAGCATATTTAATACCTATGTAAAGTATTATTTCTTGTGTCTATTCCGTACTACATTCTCTTATTGAAATTTTAATTAGGAGCACTTTTTTAATTGCAATCTGATAGCAACTCCATCAAGGCTTTTCTAAAAGGAGATTGTATGTATCTAAGGACTCGCGCTTATTGTTCAATCTCTTCTTACTATATTTATATCCACTCCCTTTTTTTCAAGTAGAATACATCAATATGTAATATCTAGAGAGCTGGATTGCATAGCTCTAGCTTCTCTCCAGTTTATGAGTCATGGTAGGACATGACAAAAAAAAATGAAATATTTGAGAAGGGATATTCCTGTCTAGAGGCATCATCACAAACATCAAGCTTTATTACTCATTTAAGCAATTTATATGGCTGATACCAAAAATAACCCTGGGCAGTATATAGAGATTAAAAACAATAACAAGCCAACAACAACCATGATGCCCAAGGCCACAAATCAGTGGTGGGTTGCTCCCAGTTCACACATAGAACCAGTAGTTAAAACCAGCGGGAGGCTCCGCCCACCGACCCTGACATCATCAAAACGCTTCTGCGCATGCAACCGGTAATAAAGGTAAGTAGAACCCACCCCTGCCACAAATGCAAGCAACTCATAAAAACAAAATTAACCAACCATCACAGCTCACAGGGATCAAGGGCATGGGGGAAATGCCAAGTCTTACAACAAAAGACTAACAGTATTGAGGCTATCTGAATAGGTCTCATAATATTCTGTTCAATAGGACATGTGCTATACAAAAGGCACAATTTGGGGGTCAATAAAATATTATTTAATGGAAGGGAAGCCAGATCATGCCCTTCCCTGCAAGATCTGATGAAGTGAATAAATATTTCTATAGAGGTCACTCAAGCTTGGCATTATTCTCAAGCACAGCATATATATGAGAGTTGCTTCCTATTCTGGCATCATTGACATTTTCCATACATTTCCAGACCAACAGATGACAGCAATCAGCCACCTGGAAGGGGAGTATTATCCATGCACGGGCTTACTTATGGAGTAATTAGAGTGGATTCAGAAGAAAAGCTTTCTGTTCTAACAGTGCAAGATGTTGGTTTGGTGATGCCTGGAGGTAAGGCTTCTATAAGGTTACTCAGAAAAATGTATAACGTTTGCATTGTTTTTCTCTTAATGCATGCTGGATGGGGGAATTCAGAGATTAAAATCCATGAATCTTAAATTTGCCAAGGTTGCATTGCCTTAAAGAAAGTTGTATTTGCAGAAGCACTATTTCCTCAAAGCTAGCGTTCATTTTTCAATATATTTTGTGGTTTATCTTATCCCACCCTTGTCAGTTAAAATTATTCTTCCTCCATTAAACATGTACATAAATGTAATGACTTCCTAGGGTGCATTTTAGAATGCTATCCTAAGTATGATCTACCCACAACAAAACAGTTTTGTTTTCTTCAAACTTTTGCAGGCAAATAACTTTTTCATAAATCTCATATAGATTCATTACATAATTTTGTAGGATTGAGATTCTATGCCTCGTTCCCATTGGAAAAAAGCCAGTTGCAAAAGCATTCTGTTCTGTTTCGCTTCCAACTCTGTCGTGTTGGCGGCTTTCCCATGTCTAAACTTGTATTGTTTGGGGTTAACCGTAGTTAGCAATCCATCAGAAGTCATATATGGTCACTTTCTTTTTTATGCCCAAGATTGGAAAGAGAAGTGTTACAAAAAGGTATATTTAACAGGGTGGAAGAATAACGAGAAGTCTGGAATTTGATTCCAGAAGACTTGATTATGCCATCTCTTCTTAAGATTAAAGAATGTGTTTACTCTTCCCCAGAATTACTTATTTTTACAGGTTTAGATGTCGGACATGAACTGCATTCATTGTTTTATTTAATTCCTTAGTGTTAATTTTCCTGCGGGAATTAACTTTTTTATCTTCTCTGCACCATATTTCTGCAACATCTCTGGCGGGATGGAGGTAATGCATAAATCCTGGTTCTCCTTGATCTCTCAGTGGCATTAATACCAACAGTCATGGTATCCTTCTGGGTCGGCTTTAGGAACTGGGGGTGGGCAGCACTATATTGTGCTGGTTCTCCTCCTTACTTGGGAGCCAATCCAGTTTCAAGAGAGAGAGAGAGAGAGAGATCTAGTTTGTGACCAATACTATGTGGAGTGGGGGTGGGGGGGCTTCAGAGCTCTGGTCTCTCTCTCTTGCTTTTAATATTTACATGAGGCCGCTAGGTGAAGTGATCCATTGGTTTGGGATGACATATATAGTCATTTGCTTACTCTATCCCAGATCTCTTCAAAGTGCCATGGATGTCCTATCTCAGTATCTGGGGGTTATTGGGGACTGGATGGGGAGAAACAATTTCTGACTCAATCCTAGCAAGATTGGGTGACTATGGAAGAGAACTCCTCCATCTCTGGTTCTGAATGGCGTTGCACTGCTCCAAACAGACTGTGTGTGCATAATCTGGGAGGGTCTTATTGGACTTGTGAAGAACCAGTGGCAGCCATGGCCAAGGCAACCTTTCCACACCTCTGGGTGGTATGCCAGTTACACCCATACCTGGACCAGGAGGCCCTGGTCACAGTAATCCATGCCCTTGTAATCTCCAGATTAAACTACTGTAATATGGTCTACATGAGGCTGCCTTGTAGACTGTTAGGAAACTTCAACTGATTCAGAATGCAGTAGCATAGATCGTACATGGTGCCAGATATGATGGCACACATAACCCCAATTCCTGCTCGAGCTGCACTGGTTATCAGTGTTTCCAAGTGAAGCTCAAGATGCTATAAGGCCCTACTTCTCAAGGTACCCAAAGGATTGCCTTTTTAAAAAGAGATTCAGTCCATCCTACTGCCTCAAAGAAAAAGGCATATGACTGGGAAAATGAGGAAACGTCCACAGAAGATGATGTAATTAAAAACATTTTAGATTGTGCAGAAATGGATAGATTGACATTAAAAGTAAAAGAAAAAGAAGATACAGAGTATTTTCGAATGTGGGACTTGTTTTGTAAATGGTTGGAGAGTAGAGGTAGAAATTAGGAGTTGGAAGAGTATTACTATATAAAAATAAATTGATCGAGACAATATGCTGTTCATTAAGCACTTATGTATGTAATGTGAAAATATATAAACAGTTTTTTAAAAAAAAGAATGCATATGATGCAGATTCCATCTAAGTATATTTACGTAGAATGTCAGTTGGTAGGGCCCAGAAAACAAGCTTTTTCTACAGCTGCCCTCTGCTGTATGGAATTTCCTCCTTTTGGAAACCAGAATGGTTCCAACCTTGTAATCTTTTTGCAAGATCCTTGTAATCTTTTTGTAAGACCCTAAAAACCTGGTTATGTTCCCTAAAGCCCTGAATGTGCCAAGGGCCCTATTTCCAGCTATATTGCTAACGAGCTAAATACCTTGCTCCTATGAATATTTAATTTGGGTTTTTAGTGTTTTTAATAGGGCACAATGGCTTAGCGGTTAAGACCCTGGGCTTGTCAATCAATGGTTAGCAGTTCAAGACCCAAGTGCCACGTGATAGGGTGAGCTTCCATTCAAGATTTAGAAAAAAAAGGGGGGGAAGGGGGGTGTATCAAGAAGCCCAGCCTTTTTTATAAAATAAAAGTTCTCCTCCCAGTCACTGAAGAGATGCAAACACCTAATTTCTAGTGCTATTTCTAGAATCAGTTTTCTAGTGCTTTGTGGTTATGAATCTGAATCAATGTAATGATTGATAGTTTAAAATCAAACAACCCCATAACACTGTTAACTCAGATTTGGTGTGTTACGTTGAATTCAACATTATGCTAAATTTATCCTGCCTTTAATTCTTTCGGCAGTCAAGGCAGCACGCTGCTTGACCCCTCCTACTTTATCAACAGCAACAATCCTGTGAATTGGTCACATTGCCAATGTCTATTACGCAACACTAGAAAAAATGCTATTCTTTCTTTTCCTCACCAATAGCCATAATGTGTGCTGTCAAACCAGATGGAGTCCCTCAACTCTGCCGAACAGATGAAGTTGGTGAACTCTGTGTATGTGCTATTGCCACAGGTACATCTTACTATGGACTTTCTGGAATGACCAAAAATACATTTGAGGTAAGCTGGTAAACTGTTAACTTCATTAAAAAAAAAAAAAAACCTTTCATATTTATATTCATAGCAATGATTCATTTGTGAGGCTGCGCTTCTAATTAAGTTGAGCCATTATTGTCTTCTCCAGTCATTCCCAATCTGGACATCTGCTCCAGAATACCTCAGTGACTTGACATGTGGAGATTGGCATTCTGCAGCTCTAGAGGGCTCCAGAATACAGAAGGAGAATGCTCTTTCATTCTGACGGGTAGAATATTTCCAGTTGAAGGTTTTCTCAAAATAATGTTTTATTTATGTGTGTATGTGTGTATATATTGCGTGTATATTGCGTGTATATTGCGTGTATTGTGCATTATAAATTAAATCAAAATAATAATAATAATGACTAAGGAATTCAAACAGGAGGAAAATATTTAAAGATTTAAAAAGGGAATGGGAAAAGCAAGAAGATATCTGGGGAAAGGAGATGGGGTTAGAACAGATAGCTTTAAATCTAAAATCCGAATTTCTCTCTAAAATACACTTCCAAATATAAGGCCTAAGGCAAGCAAATTTTACTTTATCTCCAACTTTGGGGCATCAATAATCCACCCCTCCAAAAAAGGAATAAAAATGTTCCAAAAAAAGAAAAAAGAAAACAGATAGCTTTAAAACTTGACAATGGGAAAGGGTAGAGAGGGGAGAAAAAATTAGATTGCACAGTCAGAATGCAGATCTAGAAGTCGATGGAGTAAAAGGCTTAAGAGAAGAATATGGGAGGCAAGTCAAAAAAAGAATAAGACTTAAAGTACATATTTTAACAAAAACATGTGTATAAATATTAGAACTATATAGACTGGATAATTATTTTGTATGTATTGTGATAGATATTAGGATAATATTTAAATACAAATAGATATGAAGAGTGAAATGTGGGAATTATGAATAAGAATTCAGCATTAATTGGAAAATTAGAGATTGAATGGTGGTACTATTAAACATGCAGAAAAATATTATCAATAGCAGTGAAATGATAAAATTAAACAATGAGTGATTAGATAATGAAAGAATATATTTTAATGTAAGCATGTGTATTAATAGTAGAATTATATGGATTGGATGATTGGAAAGAACATGAACAAATTTACCTTGTGTTTAAATGATTGTGATTGGTATTAGAATTGTATATTGAAACACTGAACAATGAAAGAATGAAGGATGAAACTTTAATATAAATAGATGTGAAGAGCTAAATATGAATAATAAAGCAGGTGAAAGATGAAAGGTAGAAAAGAAATGTCTTTGAATACTACGGTGACATAAAAAAAAGTTAAAATAGAGATAGAAATAAGAAGGGAATAATAGTATATATATAAAATTTTCTTCTGTGACTGCCACAATCACTAATATGTTTGTATGTATGTATGTATGACTCGGAAAGTAAACTTGCTACCTTAATTCTACAATGCACACACAGAGACACTTTAATTGGAAAAATAGCAAATTGTAGGTCTTTATTTTCTTAATCCCTTTCCCAGTTTTTGCATTCTATGTTTTTCTATTGTTTCTGAAAATTTTATTGACTATTTTTATTTTGGCTATTGCTGTCTCTATTCATATTTTATCCCCCTTTCCAGATTAGGCATGGCAGTACCACTCTGGAAGTACCAGGCTGAAATTTGGGATTCATGCAAATGTTTTCTACCAATAAATAAATAGTGATAGAAGCACAGCACTGCAATATATAATTTTAGGGACATTGTAATGAATGGCTGGGTTTTCAAATCTCATTGAGCATGTTTATGGTTTGCTTGATTATGCTTTAGGGTGTTGCATAAACCAATGCATTTTTATAAATTATTATTCACAGCATATTTTGTTATGTCATAACTATTATAACTTCAACAACACATGCTGAAGCAAATCATTGCTTTATATAATGCAATGGGCATTCAAAAAATAGTACTAGTGTTCCCACAGAGAAATAGAAGAGGATTTATGTTTCATGTGTAGTAATTTTAATATATGCTCCTAAAAGGATCATAAAAATGAAGTTTCCCACCCTCACTTCTCTGTCTTTCTCATAGGTGTTCCCTATGACTACTTCAGGTGCCCCCATAAGCGAATATCCCTTTATAAGAACTGGACTTCTTGGGTTCATTGGCCCTGGAGGACTTGTTTTTGTGGTTGGTAAAATGGATGGTCTGATGGTTGTCAGTGGCAGGAGACACAATGCAGATGACATTGTAGCTACAGCATTGGCAGTGGAACCCATGAAGTTTGTCTACAGGGGAAGGTAGGCTTACATTTCTTCCCAGCAGGATTTTTTAAACAGGATATTGAAAGAGTGCTTCCCTTGCTCAGAGAAACCTTAGATAACCTTAGCATTCCAATAGATAAGCCAACATGCATTAATTTCTACTAAAAAGCCTTTATTTAACTGTCCTCCTTTAATAAAGGCCGACAACTCTGTGATATTAGCCCAGGTTTCCTGCCTGGTCTGCTTTCTGCTTTAACTCTGCTTGTCTCTACTAAAGTAGTAGCCTTTACTACAGTTAGCCTCTCTACTAAAGTAGTAGTAGAATCTATCCCTTTCTGCCTTTTCCATGTCTGTTTGTTGTAAGCTCTGGTATGAAGCCTAGTTTCCGCAGGCAGGAGCTGGCTAATTCCTGCTAAATGAGAGCCCAACTCCTCCCTTTAGGCAGCTCCCTTTTAGCCAAAGTTTGTTTTCTTTCCATAAAGTGTTTAACGAACTCCTGAACTTTAAGCCACCTTCACTTGTATGGATTACGCCACCTTCACTTGTATGGTTCCCTCCTTGTTGAATATCCCACCCCTTTGTCATGGATTATCGTCAGAAAGTTCCGAAGCATACAAAAGCCAACTCAGTAACACAAGTCCTCTAGTAATACACACATAAGCGTGTGGCTTATGTTCAGGCTAGTTTTCACTGACCACTAACCCATTCTTCTCCACTACTACTACTACATTTCCTGTTATTTTCCTCCAGCTATTCCTTGTAAGTCCTACTACTAGAAAATAATATCTCTTTCTAGCTTCTTCAAGCTAATTCAGGCTGCATTTCTTCCCCACATGAAATTCCACCCACCTTTTCCCACACACAAACAGCAATAGCCCAGCTCTCTCTCAGCGCAGCTATTATAGCAAACGGCGCTGTGCTGGCTGGGAAAAGCCTTAAAGGGGCAGGATAACAGCAAACAGCTGTGGGCCATTTCCGAGTCAACCTCTCCTCTCGCAATACGGCACTCTACCAGTAAGTTTCAGTTAATACCTAAGGTAATGGGAGCCATAAGATGAGTGCATTATTTTTATGTCTGTTGCCCGTAGCAGCTATTAATGCATTTTCTGCTTTATTGTTTGTAATTTTTAACATTGTTTGCTTCCTAATGTTGCTAAAGTTGTAACACGGACAGCCGTATAAGTTGTTTAAAATAATATTCAGGGCTGCTTAAGGACAAATTAAGGCAATGTAAATAAAACAACCCCTAGTAAAACATTTAGATTAAAAAATAGATGAAAATCAATTGGAAATGGAGCCAGTATAAACATCTGGGGGAGAAACTTTAATCGGGCATCAAAATGAATATCCGGCAAACCTCTTTAGGAAATTCAAAGTAGGAATGCTACAAATGGAAACAACTTTGCATATTTCCATTTCTCTAAATAAAAACAAAGGCAGGAATGACTTCGTTATGCTTGTTTTCTTTGCCTCGGTTAGTAAATATTATTCCGAACATATGGAGAGTGAAATACTGCTTGCAATGATGGTGCATTACTTCATGGCAGGAGTGGGCAATTGTGCCTCTTTTATAACCTGTGGACCCAGAAATTTTGGGTGTTGAAGTCCACAGGTTGTAAAAGAGCCACAATTGCCCACCCCTGCTCTATGGAGAGCCAACATGAGCTTGCTTTTAAAGTAGCTGTTCCAGTTAGTGCTCTATTTTAAACTTCTGTAGGTGTTCAGTGCAGATGTCTTCTAGAGGAAATAAAGAACTTGGGCTCTAATCTTCTCTGTTGCATAACTAATGAGAACTGAGTCACACGAAAGTCATGAAAGGGAATTGCTCTGCTCTTAGTCTTTTTATCCAACTGCAAATATCTTGGTTTGCACATCCCACAGGATAGCAGTATTTTCAGTGAGCGTCCTTCATGATGAACGAATAGTCATTGTGGCTGAGCAGAGGCCAGATTCTACAGAAGAAGACAGCTTTCAGTGGATGAGCAGAGTCCTGCAGGTACAGTTGCTAAACCTATAATCATCAGGGTCAAATGGAAAGACATGATGTGCCAAGGTTGTTACATAAAAGCATAACTATTTATTGCAGTTTCCAACAGAAGCAAAACATACCTAGTGAAAGAGTAATCTTTATTTCTGTTCCAGATGATCTTGGTTAATCTCTCCTGGAATTTTTCTTCTAATTTTGGATTAAACTATGAAAATCTACTTTTTCCCCTCTTGCTATGTTTTCTGAACAGATGATTGCTGTATCTTTGATAACTGGTGTAGCCGTGATGGTGAACCTATGGCACGCGTGCCAGCTATCGCCCATTGCTCTTCCAGGTTACAGCACGCATATTCACGCTGGCCAACTCAACTTTGCGCACGCGGGAGCACCGGAAACCATAAGAGAAGCTCCCTGGTGCACATGCGCTTGCCGGGAAACTGAGCTTCTGGTTTCTGGCGTGCATATGCCTGCCGGTCACCTGGTCTTCCGTTTTCTGGTGTGCATGCATGCGCAAAGACTAGCTGGCCGGCGCACATTTGCATGCCGGTAACCAAACACTCAGTTTCCCGGCAAGCGCATGCATGCCAGGGAGCTGCTCTTATGATTTCCGGCGCTCCCATGCGTGCAAAGACGAGCTGGCCAGCCCACAGCTGCGTGCTGTAACTTGGAAGAGCAACAGGCAATGGCTGGCGTGCCCAGAGAGGTGACTCCAGGGAGCTGCTCCTCCAGTTTCCAGCGCTCCCCCGCATGTGTGAGCGCGCTCCCATTTTGGCACTCGGTGCCAACACTGAGCTATAGCAATGCTGGTATGCAGAGCCTTTTAAGAAACTCAGAGAACAGAGTGGGAAAAACAGAACTTATTATAAAGGGAAGCAACTATATCTTCAAGTGCTTACTAATTGGCTGTTTATTGATTCTGTAATGGCATTACCTTATGAGTATTGCATTCCTTCCAATCTGCAGCTTTATGTTTAATGTGTTGGGCTCTCTTGAGCTGTGCTTGTGATTGAAAAGATAGGATATCCATTTATGAAGAAGCAGAAGATGATGGATACTCACCTCATTGTTCTGCAGAACAAGGGCAAGGCTGTGCATGAACTTCCATAGCCCATAATATATCTCTTCCTCTTTGGGAGAATGTTTTCTTCTACCTCCATTTAAATGCCAGAGGAAACCTAGACAGCCTGACTAAGACACTGGCTCAGTGGCTAAGACACTGAGCTTGTCGATCAGAAAGGTCGTCAGTTCGGCGGTTCGAATCCCTATTACAGGTCTCCTGCGTGAGCAGGGGGTTGGACTAGATGACCTCCAAGGTTCCTTCCAACTCTGTTACTGTAACTGAAACACAAAGAGCTAAAGAAAAGTTTTAGAGCAGTGATGGCTAACCTTTTCCGGACCGAGTGCCCAAAGCACGAGTGTGTGCGTGTGCGATCCCCATGCATGCGCCCCACCCATGTGTGCCCCACATGCATGAATGCCCCCCCGCCATATGCCCCCCCGCATGTGCACACACCCTCCACACACACATGTGCCCCCATACATGTGTGCACAGGCTCCCACACACGGCCCGTCCCCACGCATGCGTGGCAGAGACCTGAAGACCAGCTAGCTGGTGGGAGGCATACACACATGCGTGGTGGAGCTTAACTGGGGTGAAGGCTTGCATGCCCACAGAGAGGATGCTGTGTGCCACCTCTGGCGCCCGTGCCATTGGTTCACCATCATGGTTTTAGAGCATTCAAGTAAGGTCTTATAAACATAGTGCAGTAGAGCAATTTAGCACTCTAAATTCCTTTATAGATTGCACAGTCTATGGAACAGTGATGGGTTTCAAATTTTTTTACTACTGGTTCTGTGGGTGTGGCTTGGTGGGCGTGGCAGGGGAAGGATACTGTAAAATCTCCATTCCCATCCCACTCCAGGGGAAGGTTACTGCAAAATTTCCTCCCTATCAGCTGGGACGTGGGAAGCAGAGAATAGATGGGGGCAGGGGCAGTCCGAATTTTTACTACTGGTTCTCCGAACCACTCAAAATTTCTGCTACCGGTTCTCCAGAACTGGTCAGAACCTGCTGAAACCCACTTCTGCTATGGAAGCATCAGTGTGAGGATCTTGCAAGTTAACACCATCAGGGGAACTCTTGAGGAAGGGGAAAACCTAATGATGGGGAAGACAGGAAAGAATCAGGCAGTTTACAACATTTTGGCTACACGCCATGGTGGCATGCAATAATAATACCAAATTCTACCAAGGCTGCTCAAAGAAGGATGCATCGCGAGCAGGGATATAAAAGAACTAACCATAGATGTTTTGAAAAGCAGTTCAAGCAAGAACATCCGGACAGTAGAAAAGGTAGATTTTGTTAAGCTATCTTCTCGCACTCCCAAGAGAACAATTCTCTTGGGAGTGTGATGGCTCAGCAGTTAAAGATGCTGAGCTTGTCAGCTGGAAAACCTGACAGGCCTGATTCAAGACCCGAGCGATGCGCGATGGGTGAGCTCCCATTCCTTGCTCCAGCCCACCTAGCAGTTTGAAAGCATGCCAATGCGAATAGATAAATAGGTACCACTTTGGTGGGAAGGTAATAGCGTACTGTGTGACTTTGACATGCTCGTTACATGACCAGGGAAGTGTCTTTGGACAATGCTGGCTCCCTCAGCTAGGAAATGGAGATGAGCACTGCCCCCTAGAGTCATACATGAGTAGACAGGGGAAAGCTTTGCCTTTACCTTACCTTTTATAATATTTATGTTTGTGCCAGTTTTATTCCCCTTTGTCCATAAACTCCAGTTGTCTTCATCCCCATTGGCAATTTGAGTAGATGGGACTAGTAGAATACAGTTCAGCATATTACATTCCCTTCTTAATGGCCCTCAAGTGTTAGAACTTGATGTCCTTCATCACTTTTGGGGTGAAGTGCCTGACTTTTTCACTGCCCAGTTTATATTTCTTTAAATAACCGTTAAGGTGAAGCAATCTATGTCCCCTCTTCTGGCAAGGTTTTAGAGAAGGGAAAAAGAACCTCTTTTTCTCTCAATGGCTGCGGTTCCTCAGTTGTGTTGTGTTGTGTTGAGAGAAACCTGATGGATGAAGCCAAAGCAGAAAAACCACAGTGAATGACAGCCTCCATTCTTCCCTTCAATATTTCTTCTTGCTGGTTCAGCAAGACAACAGAAAGAGAAGGAATTAAGAGCTTTTAGCAGTGATGTAAAAACTAGTATTTTTCATTGTGAAAAGCCTTGTGAAGGCTGCTGATTGTCCAGTTCTGTTTTATGTAGCCCATTTCTATTGGTGAGGGCCAATATTTTTGAGACCTCTGATTGATAATAACCTTAACCAGGATACAGTTTCACCAGTGTGAAGTTAGTATATATTAAAATCAAGTTGCTCCTTAGACACTCAAAATCTATGATTTTAAAACAATTTCTTCTTCTCTTGAATCCTTATAGATAAAATTAGACCTGATTTGTAATGTACAGCAAATCTACATAGCAAGCAAGGAAAAATGTGCTCTTTTAAACTTGTACCCTGTCTTTATCGTTTTTACAAATAACTCAAGGCAGCAAACATATCCAACACACCTTCCTCCTCCTATTTTCTCCACAACAAACAACCCTGTGAGGTGGGTTGGGCTGAGAGAAAATGATTGGCCCAAAGTCACCCAGCCAGCTTTCATGACTAAGGTGGGACTTGAACTCACAATGTTTTGCTTTCTAGACTGGCCCATGTCTGGTTTTGAGTTTTTAGTTTTAATGCATTTTCTTTTTCTGAAAAAATGCCTAAGTTGATGTTGGTCAAGAATTATATCTTGATGATTTAAAGTCACTTTTACTGATTTAACTTTCTATTTCTACCTTTACATTTAGATTAGTTGATACTGTAGTTCACATACTACATTGAACTACAATTGAACTACAATTTAGACTTCTAACTTTTAGCAACATTGGGCCCTGTGAACACAGCCTGGCGGATTTTGTTGTTGTTGTTGCATAATGATGAAGTTGAAGCAATCACAAATTATGGCTAAATAAATTATAGATACATAATTGTGTAATCATAGTCCGTTATCTAGTAGGGAGTTTCAAAGTTCCTTTCTGTAGCTACATGACTTTTCAGATATCTGTGTGCTTGTGAGCAGACCAACTCAATCGTGTTCCCACCCTTATAGTAATTTTCTTCTTTTTATATGTATTTTTCTAGGCTATAGACAGTATTCATCAAGTAGGAGTTTACTGCCTAGCCTTGGTACCAGCAAACACACTCCCAAAGACTCCGCTTGGTGGAATCCACTTATCAGAAACAAAGCAGCTCTTCCTTGAAGGAGCATTGCATCCCTGTAATGTACTGATGTGTCCACACACCTGTGTAACAAACCTGCCTAAACCAAGACAGAAACAACCAGGTAAGTCCAATGTTTGCGTCTTGGGTTGAAATCCCCTGATAAGTGACTCGATAGTGAGATGTCCCATATATAACTTTCATATAAATAAATAAAAAGAAGAGTAGCTAGATTTCCTCATAATTCAAGACCTTTTGATTGGATGTTCTGTCTGTGTTCTGTTATTTTCGACTCAGTGATTGGAATATTGGTTTGCTTTATGGATTTTTTTATTCATTTAATTATGTACCATCCTTCTGTTTGAAAATGTCCGTCAGGCAGCTTATAACAAATGGATATAAATTAAAACAGACTCAGATAATTTTACCAAGAAATGTCTGGCAAAAGAAAGGCATTCTTAGAGGCAGGGCATTATTGCAATATGAAGTACCAGCATTCTGTAGTTTGGGTGTGATGCAGAAGGAAGCCCAGAGTAGGCAAAGCTTCAGAAAAGCCTCTCCTGCAGATTTTAGAATTCACACAGATTAGTAAATAGAGAAGCAATCCCTCAAATAGTAAGACCTAAACTGTATTAACACCAGTATTCTAAATTGTACCTAGAAAGCAAATAGAGATCTTTCAGTATGATTCCTGTATCTCCACAACACTTTGATAGACAAGATTATGTGCTCTATTACAAAGATACTTTTAGCAATTCAGACGGTTGGTCCTTTCCTATGAATCTGCTATATTTTTTGTTTACGTTGCAGAAAGGCTTAGGAAGGGGGTGAAAAATTTTTTGACTCCCATCTACTGAGGAAATCTACAAAAGCCTATTTTATTAGTTATCTCAAATTGTCTGGGTTCAGCTAATCTCCCTTGCTCCTCAAATGCTAGATGAGACTACCAAATGTAATGATCCCACTGACCAATGTTGTCTCATTTCCTCTCATGAGTTTAAAAAAACAACAACCCAGTTTTATGGAAATTAGAGCTTCAAGATCTGAGCTGCAGGAATTGGACAGCAAAAAAATAAATAAATAAATAAATTTAAAAATCCAGTAATTTCATTTTGCTGGGAGCAGCTCCTATTATTTGCAGCTGAAATGGCAGGGGATTTCGTATGAGATAGTTTCACTCTAGATGAGGAAGCACAGTAATATGAATTTTGCACTGGAAAGGAAGTTCTTAATTCTTCTTTCACCATCTTCCTGATGTACTGTAGAAATTGGTCCTGCCTCTGTGATGGTGGGGAATCTGGTCTCTGGAAAAAGGATTGCACAGGCAAGCGGCAGAGATTTGGGACAAATAGAAGATAATGATCAAGCTAGAAAGGTAAAGCCCTAAATCTTCCATAGGTATAGTGGATAACGAGCAGAGAAGAGCATACTTACGGGAATTTTCCTTCCATTCAGAACTGGGAATATGAGAGTCCATATATTCAGACCAAATATTTATATCAAGGGATGTATTTTCTAAGGCTAATATATCACATCAAAACCATATATAACCTATGTCAAATCACAGTTACAGATCTGATGTAAATATGCTATTTTTGTCTTATATAGTTCTGGATAAATATGTATTCGTGTTTCTACTTACTACACATTATGTATAGTTGTCTATTTTAAAACTGACCATTATAAATATTTAATACAAAATGGGTATTAGGGGCGCAATGGCTCAGTGGTTAAAGAAGCTGAGCTTGCCAGCTGGAAAGCCAACAGTCCAGGTTCAAGACCCAAGTGCCACGCAACAGGGTGAGCTCCTGGTACTTGCCCCAGCTCCTGCAAACCTAGCAGTTCGAAAGCATGCAAATGCAAGTAGATAAATAGGTACCACTTCAGCGGGAAGGTAATAGCCTTCCGTGTGCCTCAGCATATAGTCATGATGGCCACATGTCCACGGAAATGTCTTCGGAATGTGCTGACTCCCTTGGCTGAGATGACCGCTGCCCCCTAGAGTCACACATGGACTGGACAGGGGAAACCTTAACCTTAACCTTTAATTGGATGTTGCTCCTGATCACATCAGTGCATACATGCAGTTCTACTAAGTTGCTGGTAATTTCAGACTATTTAGAACAAGAATGAATTAATTGAATTCTGTGTTGACTAATTGAAAAAAAAGGTCAGCAGTTTATTGTATGTTACTGATTTTTAAGTATTTTCAGATTTTTATTGTCAACATCCTTAAATTTCTTTTCTTCATAGTAATAATATCTATGAATCTTTCAAACTGGTAAACAGTTTGCAGTTCAGCGAAAAGAAAGCTCTTTCTAGGCCTAAAAGATGTTTAAAGAAGCAATTGTGTTTCTTACATTCCTCTCTTTCTTAATATTTATCTTGTTTTCCCCACCAGTTCTTATTCCTCTCAGAAGTCTTACAGTGGAGGGCCCAGACAACTCCTGACCATGTGCTTTATACTCTACTAAACTGTAGGGTAAGGATATCTTTTGGCTTTCTTATTTGTAAATTTATGAAACACTGTGAATTGGGCATCATGCAAATTAAATAAATAATGATGATGATAAATAAACTTGCAACTCAGAACTACCGTGTTTTCCCGAAAATAAGACCCTGTCTTATATTTTTTTGAACTCCAAAATAAGGGCTTCGCCTTATTTTCAGGGGGGGGATGTCTTATTTTGGGGCACAATTTGGGGGTGGCAGGTGGGGTGGGGAGGGGGAGAAGTAAGGGGCAGGAAGCCCTGCATGCCCGGCACGAGAAGAGATGGCAAGAATCACAGCTACTTTTGCAGCCATTTGAGGCTGCAAAAGCAGCAAGAGAAACAAAGGAGGGGAACCAGGAAGATCGAGTAGATCAGATACCGGACGGTGAGGACAGCGGCCATGGAAGAACCTGCTGTGCAGGGGCGGCTGAGCCTGCATTGCGCGGCTGGCCAGGGCGGCCACAGCTTCCCGAATGTGAGCCTTTCCCGGTCGCTGGACACCAGGCCCTCCCCACCCTCCGCTTCCAAGCAGGGAGGCTGTCCTTGGTGGACAGAGTGGCAGCTTCCTCCTCCTCTTTCCCAAAGGCCCACCGTGCTTAAAGGCCCAGTGTGGCGCTTCCCCTAGCCCACTCGCCCTTTCGCCCGCCTCTCTCCAAGCGCTCCGATCCCCATCCCTCGAGATAAATCGGCCAAGAGGCACCCAGCAGCGAGTCAAACCCATCCTGAGCCTTGCCGCTTTCAGTCGCTGCCTCCCTGGCCCGAGGCTTCCGCAGTGTGCCCGTTCGCGCAGGCCAGGAACCCTTTACCCCCAGTTCTGCCTTCGGGCTCTACCGGGTGGCCCCCTCCCCACACATCCCTGGCCTGCCTGTCAATGTTACAGAAGATGCAACACTGCACATTGCCCATAAGCAACGTGCAACCTCTCACAGTAATGAGAATTGCCTGCAATTCTCCTTTCTGTGAGAGGCTGCATGTTGCAAAGAAAAACAAAGCAAGGGGGGGTGGAGGACAAAACAAGGCAGGGGCTGCAGAGCTGCCTCAAGGCCCTGCATCGACTTACCTGAAGGCCCTTCAGCCAGGCCACCCATGCCAAACCCTCCCTCTCCCCCCCAGGGCAGCCACATCCCTTCACTAACCTGCTTTCCAGGTCTGTTCTCCCCTGTGCGTAGTCTGTTGGACTACGGTGTAAAAAAAAAAAATACTAGTAGTTCAGATCTTTTAACTTCTCATGAAGAAGAAAAAAAAAACTCGCGAAGTTGGAAGGTGTTTTTACCATAGTCCCACAGAGTACTTTCTTGCCCTGCATGTGACAGTGGAGAACAGAGCTGGAAAGCAAGTTAGTGAAGGGATGTGACTGCCTTGGGAGGTTTGGGACAGGGGTGAGGGACTTCTGTGTATTTATATAGAGGGGGGGGACAGAGAGAACTTTGCTGCCAGCCCTGGATAACTCTCTGAGGTTGGATCAGATCTCTCTCTTTCTCTCTCACTCTTCCTTTGGGATCACAGCACAGATGGCCCTTCCAGGATTGCAAGGCTGAAGGCTTCGGATGGAGCATTTTGGGGATGTGTGTCTGTGCTACGATCCCAAGTAAAGAAAGATCGGCAGGAAAAGGGGGAGGAGGCCGGCAGCTGGGGAGGTGCTCTGGAGATCAGGGCCAAGTTGCACAGCCCTCGCGGCTCAGTTGATCAGTGGACAGCAATTAAGGGGCCGAACCTCCAGGAGGTGACAGGAAAGGGAAGGGCTGCCTCCTGTGCTGGCCACGCCCACCCCTTCACTAGGGCTTATTTTTGGTGGAGGGTATATATTTATCCCCACCCCAAAAATCAGGCTTGGCCTTATTTTCGGGAGATGTCCAATTTTCAGGAAAACACAGTATTAAATATAAAACCAAGTTTGAAATGACAAAGGAGTATCCTACAATGAACTAATCCTTTCACAGAACCATAAAGAGCTGGCAGTTCTCTTAAGCTTTTGGATAGGTATGAGCCCTGGTGGCGCAGTGGTTAGAATACAATATTGTACCTGACTCTGCCCACAGCCTGGAGTTCGATCCTGAAGGGCTCAAGGTTGACTCAGTCTTCCATCCTTCTGAGGTCAGTAAAATGAGGACTCAGATTGTTGGGGGCAATATGCAAAACAGCATAAACCTCCCAAAGAATGCTGTAAAGCACTATGCTATAGGGTTGCTAGGGTCCCACAAACTATTAGATGTTATAGGACAGGGGTGTCAAACTCAAGGCCTGCAGGCCGGATCTAGCCCACGAGGTGGTTAAATCCAGCCCACAGGACTGGCCTGGAAATATCAAAGGACCAGCCCACAGTGCCTCTGGCGGTCAAAATGTTTTTGGCCGGCAGAGTGCTGCTGGAGGCCAGGGAGGCCGAAAATGGGATGGGGGGGCGCACACAGAGGAGAACTACAATCAGGGGTGGGTTCTACTTACTTTACTACTGGTTTGCAATGGGAACACACCAATGGTGAAATCTAAAATTTGTTACTACTAGTTCTGTGGGCGTGGTTTGATGGGGGGGTAATGTGATGGTGGGCGTGGCCTTTTTTTTTTTACTTTTAAAACCATTTTTTCTACAACCTCTTCGGCGAAGAGGTTGTAAAAAAATGCTTTCAAAAGGATCTGACGATCCCAGTTGAGTTGCCTTATCGGCAGAGATTTTTTTTCTTTTAAATGCCTCTGACGATCAGACAACTCAGCTTGGATCATCAGAGGCATTTAAAAGAAAAAAAATGGGTTTTTTTTCTCTTAAAAGCCTTTGATGATTCCAGCTGAACCGCGTGATCATCAGAGGCTTTTTTTTTTTTTACTTTTAAAAGCATTTTTTCGGCCGAAGAGGTTGTAGAAAAAATGCTTTTAAAAGTAAAAAAAAAAAGCCTCATGATTGTGCAGCTCAGCTGGGCATGGGGGGCGGGCAGGGATTTTTGCTACCGGTTCTCCGAACCACCCACTTCCATCGCTACCGGATCAGGCGATCCAGTCCGAACCGGGAGCATTTCACCCCTGGAGCACATGCAAATCGTCAATTATGACGTCTGGGTGGGTAGGCGGAGCCTCCCGCCGTTTTTACTACTGGTTCTATAGAACCGGACAGAACCAGGACCAACCCACCACTGACTACAATGCTGATCTGGCCCTCATAGAAATCCAGTTTGACACCTGGATGTTTGAGTTGTTGCTGGAATTGCCATTTTGTTCTATTCTAGCCTGGCTTTTGTGCAATGCCTGTTATTATGTTTTTTTACATTGTACTTTGGGTCTCATGAACTGCCCAAAATTGCTCTGGAGTCAGGATCTGGCATCAAATTGAATTAAACTAACAAATAATAGTCTAGAATATGGACTTGTACAAACTGCATCCGTAAATGGTACTGCTTGGGAGGCAATCTGATGTAATTTCTCTCTATGACATTGATAATTTCTTACTTTTGAAAAATCTCAAGCTGTTCGGGTTTTGTTAAGGCTTGCTTCAAACCACTTTGCCATTTGAAAACAGTGATTACTAATAGCTAGCACTCAGTTCCTCATGTTATATCCTTACTAAATTTCAGTTTGAGTTATTTTGAAATGTTCTTCAGCAGTGGCTATAATTTCCTGAAAAAATCATAGTTCACTTTATAGTTACAGGCAAAAAGCTTTAAAGTCTACCTTTCAACTGACCTAATCAAGATATAGATTTTGCTTCCTTTGGGTTTTTTCCCACCTTAAAATTAAATGAATGTGTGGCATTTATATTACTAATCCAGTTTCAGAGGCTAAGGTCAATAACTCAGCTAATGAATAAAAAGCTGCATATTTAAATTTTTCTTCTTTGTCTCTACCTTTTTTTTTCTTCATGAAGGGGACAATAGCAAATTCTCTCACCTGTGTCCAGCTACATAAACGAGCTGAAAAGATAGCAGTAATGTTGATGGAAAGGGGTCATTTGCAAGATGGTGATCATGTTGCTTTAGTCTACCCACCAGGTAAATTGTGCAAGCTAACAATGTTGTTCTATCTATAAAATCTTTAACTGATGCATAAATAATGTTGGTTGGTTGGTTGGTTGGTTGGTTGGTTGGCTGGCTGGCTGGCTGATTGGCTGATTGAAGCAAAATATTTTGCTTCAAAATATTTTTGCTTCAAGTATAGGTCTTTCTGCTTGCTATATACAGTGAATTTGTAGGATTATACTCCAAAATTTCTCATTGCTCTTTCATCACTGCTTTTCTTTCAGTGTATGGGCTTTTAGACCAGTTCTTATAGCACTCAATGGGATATGGGGATGTCTAACATTTTTATTTCCTCTTCTCGTTACTGATTTCAACCAAAAGTGCTTCAGTATGGGCTTAGAGCAATGTTTCTCAATCTTGGCAATTTAACACACATGGACTTCAACTCCCAGAATTCCTCAACTAGCAATGCTTTCCCAGTGCTGGTTGGAAAATTCTGGTAATTTGAAATCCATTTGTCTTACAGTTAAAAATATGAAGTTACCAAGGTTGAGAAACATTGGTCTACAACTTCAGTCTATGTTTTATATGTAGTTGCTAAATGCACTGACTTCCAAAATAGAATTGCTATGGAACAATGAAGACAGATCCACCCCCACCCACCCCCACCTCACCCACCCCATCTCACAAGCATGAGGGATAAAGAGTTGAATTTCATGTACAGGTTTATTCAGTGAAAGAGCTGGAGAAACAAATTCTGCCTCCAGCAGCTAAATGAAATTCACAATTGTATGAGAAATCTGCTCCTCTAAAGCCGAATGAATTCAGATCATTTCAGTAGAAGTAAACTGTACATGTCTTTCTCTCTCTCTTTCTCTCTCCTTTTAACCACACAATCTTATGCATGTCTGTTCAGATGTCAGCCCCAGTGAGTTCAGTGATCCTTACTCCTAGGTAAGTGGATATAAGATTGAAGCTCCATTTCAATGTAGGTTGTATTCCCAACGCATCTGAACAGCATTACTTTAGGGAAGGTGGAATTATACAGGTGTTTTTAGAAATTTCTCTCATTTTGCTTTCTTCCTAACAGTCATGTAACTATTTTTGTCCCATCCAGGCATAGATCTGATTGCTGCATTTTATGGATGTTTATATGCTGGCTGTGTGCCAATAACAGTTCGGCCTCCTCATCCACAAAACATTGCAACAACCTTACCCACAGTGAAGATGATTGTGGAGGTCAGTGGGCCATTAATAATGATTAACTTAGAACATGCATAGATTGCCTTTTTCATCCTGGAGTTGCATTTTTTGTCTCCAGGGGCCACGAGGAATAGATTTTGGTGGAGTAAGGACATAACAAGGGTTAAGAATTAAAACTTTTGGACCCAGAGAGGAATTGTTTTGAGGGTTGGGGAATATACCATGTTTCCCCAAAAATAAGACCCTTATAATTTTTTGAACTCTGAAATAAGCGCTTATTGCCATGCGCTCAAAAGCCTGATTGGGCTTATTATCAGGGGATGTCTTATTTTGGGGGAAACAGGGTAGTAAGTATAGTGGCTACACAACATATAGACAGATTTAACCATAGTTAAAATTGGGAAAATATGACCATCCTAGACCAGGCCAAATCCAAAAATGCCAGAAAATTTCTAGAAGTCTGGCACTCTGACAAATCAGCCATCAATAGTTACATAGACATTAACATCTATAGGTTATGCAAAAGAGACGATCAACCAGCCCAAAAGAAAACAAAAAGACTCCACCTACCTCTACCTCTCCTGCAGTAATCAACACTCAGATCAGAATAGATTAACTCCAAGGTTAACTTCAGACTAATAATCAAGTAAGAAATACCCCAATCAAGAAACTGCCAAAGAGCCATCAGTAAACAGCCCAACCAAAGAATCTCTAAGAACACCTCTAAGATACAGACAGCCAAGACACCAAAATATAAACCAGTGATGAAATCCAAATTTTTTTACTACCAGTTCTGTGGGTGTGGCTTGGTAGGCATAGTGGGGCTTGGTGGGCGTGGCTTGGTGGGCGTGGCAGGGGAAGGATACTGCAAAATCTCCATTCCCACCCCATTCTGGGGCCAGCCAGAGGTGGTATTTGCCAGTTCTCAAAATTTCCGCAAGCGGTTCTCCAGAACCTGCCAGAACCTGCTGGATTTCACCCCTGATATAAACTGACAGAAAACAGCACTACTTACTAGCATTGATGATGTAACGTCTGCAAAAGCAAGCAAGCTCAGAGAGCACCAAGGACCCCTCATTTCCTTGGTGCTCTGAGCTATAAATATTCTCCTTTATCGGTATAGTGGCTGCATTCCACATCATCATAGAATTTTTTTGGGCGGGGGGTGGGAGTAACCTGTATTGAACGTCTGAACTTGAAAACATTTGGAGTAGTGAGATGTTCTTTTTAAACTGAAGATGTACTTTATAAAAAGTGAAATAATAATTCACTTGTAATTATTAAGCAAAAAGCCAGTTGGGTGTAATGGCATCTGGGTAGAAACAGGAAAACTGTGAGTTCTAGTCCTGCCTTAGACACAAAGCCGACTGGAAGATCTTGATCCAGCCACACTCTATCAACCATAGGAAGGAGGCAATGGCAAACTATTTCTAAAAACTTTGGCAAGAAAACTGCAAGAAGCTGTCTAGACAGTCTCCAAAATTGGGATATGATTGAACAAAAAAAAAAGTGTAGAGATTTAAATCTCTTCTTTCTCTTTCTGCTGAAATTCCCAGGTGAGTCGCTCTGCTTGTTTAATGACAACACAATTAATATGTAAATTATTACGGTCCCGGGAGGCAGCAGCAGCAGTGGATGTCAGAACGTGGCCACCTATATTAGACACAGGTATGTTGTATATTTGTTTTGTTACATATCTTTGCTCTGTTGCAAATTTTTGCATCTTTCACAATGTTACAAGAATCACATCTCCCTTTTTCTTCATAGATGATTTGCCAAAGAAACGGCCTCCTCAGATCTTCAAACCTTCAAATCCTGACATGCTAGCTTATCTCGATTTCAGTGTATCTACAACTGGAATGTTAGCAGGGGTGAAGGTAAGAATTACACACATCAAGATCTACATCTGGATAAGACACATGTAGGACAGGGGTGGGTTCTACTTACCTTTACTACTGGTTTGCAGCGCGCGCATGTACTCTTCTACGCATGCGCAGATCATCTATGATGACGTCCAGGTCAATGGGCGGAGCCTCCTGCTAGTTTTACTACCGGTTCTTGCGAACCGTTCCGAACCAGGGGCAACCTACCACTGGTGTAGGGGAAGAACAAGAAAAAATCTCATTTAGTTTTCCTTAACTGCTGCTTCCATGATTTATTGTTTTATTTTTAAGGGGCCATGGAGAAATCTCCTTAGTCTCTTTTTCTGTAATTTTCACAGGAGGTACAATATTGTGACACTAGGATAAAGCCAAGACAGCAAGAGCTAGTTTTTGAGTTTTTTCACATGGTAGAACATTCTTTAACTGACACTAGTAGGAGAGTCTTAACTTTTTGCATGTTAAGCATTTGGTCTTTTACTGACCCATGTCTGCCATCTGTAGCACTTTCTATTTTTACTCTCCTCTTCAGGGTTCCACATAATTTGCAGCAGTTCTGGATTATAACCTAGAAATCAAAACCACAATGAGTCACTTTCTGTTTGTTTTTCGTTTGCCGGGTTGATAGATTGTTCTTCTTTGAAAACATATTAATTGTAATAGTGTGGAAAAGATTCAGTGAGGGTTTGCTTCTAAGAGATGGAAATGAAAGTACGGAGAGAAGAGATGGGGGGGGGGAATGATTATTTTTATTCTGTTACTAACTTAAGATCTGGCAGCGCTTCAGAAGCAACCCCACAGAATGGCATAGTTTATTTATCATTCTGATTACTGTTTTTTTTCCTCTTCTTCTTCCAGATGTCTCATGCAGCCACTAGTGCCTTTTGTCGTTCTATTAAGCTGCAGTGTGAACTTTACCCTTCTAGAGAAGTTGCAATTTGTTTGGATCCCTATTGTGGACTGGGGTTTGTCCTTTGGTGCCTCTGTAGGTAAGTTTTCCTGATGAGAACTGTCAAATATCTTTTTTTGGAAGTGGTAGGACATTACTGCTGGACTCTGCTTGTATGTGTACGGAGGACAGGGATCCAGTGTATCATCTCCCAGGAAAAGGAATAATTGACATAACAAAGCAAAGATTGAAGCTAGATTTAAGTTTGAAGACCAACCTATCAGTTCTAGAGGCAAAATAGAGACGGTAAACGGAGTCATGGTGTCTTATTATATTTGAGAAAGTGGGTATTTTAGCTAGTTACAAGAAAATATTGTCGTGTGGAACAATTCTCTTCAGAGTTTAAGACAACCATTCATATTTTTTTTTCTTCATACTATTCCATGTTGCCACTAACTCTCACTGGCGTGCTTTTAATGGAATATCACATCCATACTTCTTTTTTTTTTTTCAGCACAGTTCTTGACATTTCTCCAAACTGGCTAATCTCTCCCTGTGGATAAAGCTGCTTTGGCTACCGAGGCATTACATAAGTGTGGCATATACCAAATTGGGAAATAAAACCTGTAATTCGTTGTTAGCAAAAGGAGAGAGGGAGGCTAGTAAGGTAATCATGTCCACTGAAAGGAAAGGAAACCTTCAATCCATTTTTTTTTCTTAGCGTGCAGGATTTAAGTTCATCTCCCTCTCCCAGTTTTCCTAAATATTTTAAGCAATTGGAAACTTAACACAAAATGTCCTTTTGCTTCCTGCCAAACTTGTTTATAGGTATTGTTCCAAAAGCGTTTCCTGAAAAAGAACTCAAATGCCATTTCTGCTAAGAGATTCTCAGAATCTTATTTCAAAAACTACATTTACAACTTTTAATATACAGAAATAGGGATATGCAAGCCATTCATGTCTGCCTATTACAGACATTTTGTACAGGTAGTCCTTGATTAATAACCATTTGTTTAGTGACCATTCAAAGTTACAATGGCACTGAAAAAAATGACCTAGGACCGTTTTTCACCTTTACAGCCATTCCCATGTGGTCAAAATTTGAAGGCAAGTGGTTCATATTTACGACAGTTTGCTGTCATGTGCTTATCTTTTGCGACTTTCTGACAAGCAAAGTCAATGGGGAAGCCACTTATCAACCATGTCACTAACTTAACAAGTGCAATGATTCACAACTGTTAATTAACAACTGGCAAGAAAGGTGATAAAACAGGGCAAAATTCACTTAACAAATGTCTCACTTAGCAACATAAATTTGGGGCTCATAAATTTTGGTCATACGTTGAGGACTACCTGAATGTCTTAGCATACATTTTGTAACGGAATTCTCAACTCTACTGCATAGGCATTAGAACAAATATAGAGTTGATAAACTCTACTTCAAGAGTTGCAGCACTCTTAAACCTCTGATGAAGTTCTTGATCACGTAAACACACTTGAAGTAAATTTAAATTGTGGGTTTTTTTTTGTTTTTTTTTAAAAAGGATACCAGTTTGGGGCCACATTGTTTTTATTCCAGTTTGGTATCATTGCCATTAATCACTGCAACAGGAGTATAAAAAGGGATTGAACCCTAGATACCCAGGGTTTGCAATCTGAGCACAAGCAGCCAAATTTATACCTATATATAAAACATAGTAATACAATAAAACCATCTGTTTATCCCTGTTATAGATGCTATGAAGTTGTGCTGGCCTGCTCCATTGTGATGTCCCAGAATGCAGCATTCTGAGACTTTCAAACTACTAAGGAAAACCCCTTGGAGCATGGAGCCAGCCCATTGGTAAGTCATGGCTGCATTGCATGGTTTTGCAAAGTTTTGTTTTTGTTTTTATTTTATGTCCCGACGGGTATAAAATAATAATGAAAAGAAACCTTGCAAAGCAGAGCAATAGACCTCTATCAAAAATTCTCCAGATTCCTATCAATTGGCCACCCACTCCAGCAGGATTTCCTGGAAATGTTTGTCAAAGATTGATGCATTCTGGGCAGAACAACAATTGTCAGGCCAACGTGAGTTCATGGACATTAGTCTTTCTAAACCTTTTAGCTGTTTGTGCCAAAGACATAATGCTGGGATTCATTGTATTGTCATTTCTTTTTCCCCTGCCATGTTTTTGGGTTTGGGAAGATTTTTTTTTTTAAGCCTTTCTAAATACATTTATTCTTAGCAGCTGTTCAGTTTGGTACTGATTCTGAAGTCTAGAACACCTGACATGTGTGTTTTTTTTTAATTTCTCCAACTTTTATTTCTTTTATGTAGAGCCTGAGGTGTTATAATTTCCTGATATTCATGTTTATGTGTGAATTTGTGAACTGCCAGGATAGTCTTTAAACTAAAATGTTAAATTTTCTTTTGTGTAAATAATTTTGCAAAACTAACAACAGCCATATAAGGGCTGTAAACCTGGTGGGAGAATACTGCTTTTCATGCAGAAGCTCTAGGGTGCATGATCAGCGTTTTCACTTTGATCTGGGAAGGTTCCTAAAATAGTGTAGTGTTTCTGCTCAGTATTGAAAATATTGAATCTGAAGCTTCCCTGCCTTCCATAGTTAGGAAAGGCTAGTACTGTTCTACTTGAACTTTTATTAATAAACCAAGTTTATGCATAAACTTGCCTTGACGGAAAATTGGTTCATACCTCCTACTGAATCTAGCATTGTTCAGTTTTGTTTCGGTGGAATGTGTGAAGCCATCCATTGTTGTATGTGCAACAAGCAGTGTTTAATGTAGCATAGGCTAGCCAGAGTAGATTTCAACCACATATGTAATATGGTTGAAGCATTCACCCTTAAATTCTACTGAAAGCATTAGTTTGTAACATGAGATGGTTTGAAAGCCGGATTTGTATGTTTTTTTTAAACACTACACTTCTGCAAATATCACCAAAAGGAAGGATGTAGAACAAATTTAAAAATAGCAATTCACGGAAACAAAGTAATAAAATAATAAAACAAGATTAGAAATTCCCTCTAGAGTGGTATGTTTCAAATAGGATCTAGATAGTGTGTTTGTTGGAGGATGCCTTTCATTGAATTTCTGCAAAGACCAAGAAATTCTTTCAGTGGCTTAAAAGCCGTCTTCTAGTTCTCTCATTCTTCAAAAAAAGGATATATGCAAATATCCCATCTAGATGGCAGCATTATCTGATTAGATCTTAAGAAGCCAACCAGAATCAGATGCAGTTAATAATTAAATTACAAACTATCTAGAAATCTCAGAATTGCATATGATGACATGCTAGAAAAGAGATTTCCAAGCCATTTCTCAGCCATCAAAGATGGGATCTTTTGTATGCAAAGGACTTTCCTTACCATCCTTAGCATCCCTATATTCCTATAACATTATCTGCTAATCATTTCACAAGGTGAGCAATCTGGTCGGTTTAGCCACTTGCTCAGTCAATCCATGTTTTGTTCCAAATCCCAGAGGGACAGAGAAGAAGAATCTGGTAGCTTGCTAAAGACTATTTCCTCAAGGGAGTATTCTTGACAGCAGTAGTAATTCATCACAGGGAACATTCCATCTTCATGCTACTATTGAAAAACTATCTAGCGTAAGCAAAATAAAGTTCCAACCACTGGGTCTTTCTTCACATAAATTGATTTAAAGCTAGCTCATTTTGTTTGACTTTTTCCTCTGGAATATATATTTGTTGCCACTGTTTTGATTTCTAAGATTTACAAGCTATAGGGAAACTGTAGCCCTCTGGTAGTTGCTGCACTTCTTTAGTAGTCAAGATCTCTGACCATTGGCTGTTCTTGATGGAGCAATTGGAAACCAACTGAGTAACATCCAGAGGGCTTCAGATTGTCCAACCCTGAGCTAAAAGGTCTCAGGGAGAGCTGTCTCCTTCCAGAATTTTGAAAAATAATTTCCTTTTCAATTTGACATCTTCTGGTCTCAAGACAGATTTCTCGTCATGGCATTAACCAATCTTGTATCTTTACAGCGTTTATTCAGGACACCAGTCTATTTTAATTCCTCCCTCAGAATTGGAAACTACACCTGCTCTATGGCTTCTGGCTGTGAGCCAGTACAAAGTAAGAGATACCTTTTGTTCCTACTCAGTTATGGAGCTTTGCACCAAGGGCCTTGGTTCACAAACAGAATCTTTGAAGGTGAGGAATCATTGTTCATATCCTTTTCTTTTTCCCTACAGCCTATGTTGCTTGAACTTCTTCTTCCCATTTGATATCACTGTATATATTGTTGATAAACAATTGTCTTTATGAATCAAGGACTACACCTTCAACTGGGCAAGTGGAATTCTACTTTCCACTTTGTGTGAATTTAGTCAAAGTTAAATCATAGCTTGGTATGTGAACTCATACACTTTCAACTTTCCACTGAAGACTTTCTTTAGATTTTGTTGCATATAAGCTTTTTAAGACAATCTGTGCCTTTCCTCCCATTTTTCTAACAAATGGGATTGAAGAGCCTTGGTAGTACAGTGGTCTAAGGCACCCTGTTATTAAGCTGGTTATTAAGACCAGCTGCCTGCAATTACTGCAGGTTCGAATCTCGCCAAGGCTCAAGGTTGACTCAGCCTTCTATCCTTTCTAAGGTAGGTAAATTGAGGACCCAGTTGTGGGGGCAATAAGATGACTTTGTATAAATATACAAAAGGATGAAGGCTATTGCTTAGCGCATTGTAAGCCGCCCTGAGTCTCCGGAGAACAGCGGCATATAAATCAAAATTAAAAGAAAAGAAAAGAAAAGAAAAGAAAAGAAAAAGAAAATGGCTAACAAGTCACATTATAATTATTGCCCCATCCTATATCCGTTCAAAACAGGCTCACAGTTTAATAATGGAATTTGTGTGGCTTGTAGAAGGGGTAAACTAAAAACAATGAACACTCTCTGTTCTCTGTAATGCAGAATTATAGGTAGGTGAGACCATAACAACTTTAAGATGTATGAAATAATACAACTCCCAGAATTCCCTAGCAGCATGCTCTACCGTGTCAATTTCAATACCCAGAATTTTGCAGCCAGCATGTTGCCTGGGAAATTCTGGGAGTTGAAGTCCACATATTTTAAAAAGTTGGAAAACTTGGAAACACTGGCAAAAACATCTATGATGTTTGCTATGAGGATGTCCCCACTTATTTCAAAATACAGTTATTTTTGTAACCCAAAGTTCATTTCTGCTTCTGATGTCTTGGCTATTTCATCTGTCCAAATGTCAACACTACTCTTGGAATGACCTGAGTTTGTCCTTTGTTTCCAGGCAAGAGGACTGGACCTGTCAAGGGTGCGGACATGTGTGGTTGTGGCAGAAGAACGACCTCGAATAGCTCTGACACAATCTTTTTCAAAGCTTTTTAAAGATCTGGGCCTCCATCCTAGAGCTGTCAGCACATCCTTTGGCTGCAGAGTTAACTTGGCTATATGTTTGCAGGTAAGGCTCTCTCTCTCTCTCTCTCTCTCTCTCTCTCTCTTTCCTGTTGGCAAAAATTGTAAAAGCAGTCTTTGCTTAAGGGGAAACAACCAGATTTCATTTAAGATGGTTAGTTACTTTCTTAATCATTGCAAGTGTAAAAAGTTATGTTCCTTTTTCATATTGCAAGCATACACCTTTTCAGGTTTTGTTGATCCATAATTCTTTTTATGTTACATTTATAACATTTATTCTGTCCTCAGGATGAAAGCAACACAGTAAATACCTGTATGAAATTTCCTTAATTTGTAAATTGTAAAACTCAACTCAAATCTTTATGCTCGGCATATATATGTATATTTTTAATCGTGTCAGTAGAATAAGGACTTGAATAAATATAGTGCCTTAAAATCACTCTAGTGTTACTCAGTTATTGTGGCTAGTGTTAGAAATGGATTAAATTTCCATATCTAAAGTACTTGTCCCAATCTGATATTTGCCTGATATCTTAAAACTCCCAGAGTTCCTAGCCATTACGGTTTTTGAAGTCCAACCCCTACTGGAAGTTTATATTGTCCAGAAGGGGAAAAAATTAACAGAATTTAGTATTAATGTCATAACTTCTTTCCTTATAACCAGAACTGGGATCATAATCTTGGTCATTAAGCAAAGTGGTGTTACATGACTGCTTCACTAACTGGACAGAGTTCCAGGTAGTGCAGGATGGCTTGGGGTCGGATGGGTTTGGGTGAATCATAGATTCCCAGGGCAGGCCATGTCTGAGTTAAGGAGCTAACAATTCCCTCTGTGAAATCCAAACAGCTGAGTGGAAAGGCAGTCATAGACAGCCTGCCCTGAATCTTGAGGGAGGATTTTCAGCTTCTGAGTGGAGAGACGCTCGTCATTGCCTGCTCCAGACTTTCCAGGCTTTCCCCAACCTCGAGGCACATAGTACTCCTTACCTTACAATGCTGCCTTTCCACTCAGGGAGCTAAAAATCTTGCTTGAATTTTAGCTCCCTCTCATTTTGAGGGCTGGCTGAAAGAGCTCTCTGTCAAAGGATTTCAGTTCTTTGTCTGCTTGGATTTTGGTAGGGAGCTCTTTCAGTTAAGTGCTCCCCCTGAGCGCCCCCACCTCCCGAAATAAGATGGAGTCTTGTTGGCAGGGCAACAGCTTGCAACCTGCCCTGCCAGCTATCAATTGACTTTCTCGGGGAGCTGGTAGATTGTAGAAGATTGTAAATGGCAATCACATGATAGTGAGGTTCCTGGCAACTGGTGGTTAGTGCAAAAGGGTTGCCAAGTACCCAAATCACAGTCATGTGACTGTGGGGCGGTGGGGGCATAGTTTGCAACAGAAGAGCTTTACAGGACGTGAAACAACCTTTCCAAGCCTGTCATTACTTCAAACTGTTGTTAAATGAATGGTTATAAATTGAGGATTCCTGGTGTGACCTAGGCTTCCTGAGTCATTAAAATACACGAGTAGTCCCAAAAACCTTTTTTATTGCAACAGCTGTGAATTACGTTCATTCACAGCTGAGTCCCAACTAGTTGTAAAAAGTCCTTTGGGAGAAGTCCTTCAGGATAATCACCCACCTTTATCTCCCTTGACATGCTGCCAATGACCTACTTGGCAAAGCCACACGGAGTCCAGAATTAAACAGAGATGCTGACTGGCTTAACAACGTTGCTTTCCTGCAAAGGGCCCATGTGCCTTTGCTCCTCTTTTAAATCTTATGGAAGGGGCCAATCCTCTCCAGGCCTTACTCCCGAATCATCCCTTTTGTTTTAATCCCAGTACTGTAGTAAACCTTATAAATGTTTTATTATCTTATAAGATAACCTTGTATTATTTTTTGCCCTATGCCAAACTGGAGATGAACCTCATCCATTTCAAATAAAAATTTATTTGGGTGGGAAAATTTCCTGCTGTCTGTTCCAGTTTTGTTTTCTGATGGTTTCCATCTTCCCACTTCATTCTATTTTCACATAATAAAAATGAGTTGGATTTTTTAAAATAGTAATTCCTTAGTATTTATGTATATAACTATGTCTATTAGTTTTTGGTCACCTGTTCGGATTCTTTTCTTTGTAACTTTAGTTTCCAATTTCCAACAGTCACATCACTTGGAGATATCACATAGTTTGTGATCCTTCTCCGCACAATATGATTTCAGAAAATATATATGTGCACCATTGGGCAACAATTCCCTAAATATTTATTCAGCCAAGGGTGAGGGGATTGTAAACTGGGAATACATTTAAATGCGCCATCGGCCAGATTTTACACTATTTCCCTGAATGCATTCTAAGATTTTATAATCCTCTGATTTTCTTTTCCCTACTTCTTTTCCTCCATAAAGGTAGATTTTATTTATTTTATTTATTTTATTATATTTCTATACCGCCCTTCTCCTGCGGGACTCAGGGCGGTGTACAGCCAGAATAAAACATAGTATATAAAATTTAAAAACATTTTTAAAAACAATTAAATAATTTTGGCCCGAATTTAAAACAACCCAATTAAAACCGAATTCGATTAAAAAACTGAGAGGATGGGATCAAGCCAGCCCAGCTAGATGGAACAAGTGTGTCTTCAGGGCCCGACGAAAAGTCCGGAGGTCTGATATCGTGCGTATCTCAGGGGCAGGTCATTCCAGAGGGCAGGTGTTGCCACAGAGAAGGCTCTCCCCCTGGGGTCGCCAGCCAGCACTGCCTGGCCGACGGCACCCTGAGGAGGCCCTCTCTGTGTGAGCGAACTGGTTGGTGGGAGGCTATTGGCAGCAGAAGGCGGTCGCGCAAATACCCTGGCCCTAAGCCATGGAGCACCTGGAAGACCACAGGAAGCCAGTGCAGCTCGCGCAGGAGAGGTGTTATATGTGAGCGCCCCGTCGCTCCCATAATCCCCCGCGCGGCCGCATTCTGGACCAACTGCAGCCTTTGGGTGCACCCCAAGGGGAGCCCCATGTAGAGAGCATTGCAGTAGTCCAGAGGGGAAGTGACGAGTGCTTGAGTGACCGTGCGTAGGGAGTCCCGATCCAGAAAGGGACGCAACTGTTGTATCAGGCGGACTTGATAAAAAGCCCCCCTGGCCACGGCCGTCATATGCTCTTCTAAAGACAGCCGTGCGTCCAGGAGGACGCCTAAGTTGCGAGCCCTCTCCGTGGGGGCCAGTGATTCGCCCCCAATAGCTAGCGATGGCACCAGCTGGCTATATCGGAATGCCGGAAGCCACAGCCACTCGGTCTTGGAAGGGTTGAGTCGGAGCCTGTTTCTCCCCATCCAGGCCCGCATGGCCTCCAGGCACTGGGACATCGCTTCAAGGGCATTGTTGGGATGGCCTGGGGTGGAGATGTACAGCTGGGTGTCGTCAGTGTACTGATGGAACTCCACCCCAAAGCCACGGATGATCTCACCCAGCGGCTTTACATAAATGTTGAACAGAAGGGGTGAGAGGACCGACTCTTGTGGCACCCCACGAGCAAGGTGCCTCGGGGTCAACCGCTGCCCCCCTGTCAACACAGATAGCGACCGGTCGGAGAGATAGGAGGAGAACCACCGCAGAACGGTGCCCCCCACCACCAGCCCCCTCAACCGGTGCAACATGATACCATGGTCGATGGTATGAAAAGCCGTTGAGAGATCTAACAGGACCAGGATAGAGGAGCAACCCCTATCCCGAGCCCTCCAGAGATCATCCACCAATGCGACCAATGCCGTTTCCATGTTGTGCCCAGGCCGGAAGCCGGACTGGAGCGGGTCCAGATAGACAGCTTCATCCAGGTACTGGGGAAGCTGCCGCGCCACCACACTCTCAACAACCTTCGCAACGAAGCGAAGGTTGGAGACTGGACGATAGTTAGCCAAAACAGCCGGATCCAGAGAGGGCTTCTTGAGGAGGAGCCTCACCACCGCTTCTTTCAAAGCAGCCGGCAGGGCACCCTCACTCAGAGAGGCATTAACAATCCTCTGGAGCCAGCCTCGTGTAACCTCCCGGGAAGCCAGTACCAACCAGGAGGGACACGGGTCCAATAAACATGTAGTCGCGTTCAGCCGTCCCAGGATCCTGTCCACGTCCTCGGGAGCCACAGGATCAAACTCCTCCCAGATAACATTCTCAAGACCTGCCTCAGTCATCCCGTCTGGACTTACCCAGTCACAGGCCAGGCCTTCCCGAATCTGAGCGATCTTGTCATGCAGATACTGCACAAAGTCCTCAGCTCGACCCTGCAAGGGATCATCCCGCACTTCCAGATAGGTCACCCTAAATAGGGTGGCTGGGTGATTATCTGATGACGCGATAAGAACAGCAAAATAGCTAGATTTCGCCGCTTTTATCGCCACTAGGTAGGTCTTAATATGAGACCTCACCAGTGTTCAGTTGGATTCGGAGCGGCTGGTCCTCCAACTACTCTCCAGGCGTCTTTTCCGGAGCTTCATCTCCCTCAGCTCCTCGGAGAACCAAGGAGCTAGGTGAGTTCGGTGCTGGGTCAGAGGCCGCAAAGGCACAACACGGTCCAAAGCCCTGGCAGCTGCACTGTCCCAGGCAGCCACTAGGTCTTCAGCCGAGTCATGAGCCAGATTCTCAGGAAATGGCCCAAGCTCCATCTGGAATCCATCAGGCGCCTGGGGCAGAACCACCTGGTCGGTCCCGCCTCCCTGCAGCGGGGTGCAGCAGTTAGAAAGTCTAGTCGAAGGAGCGAGTGGTCAGACCATGACAAGGGTTCAATGACTATATCCCCTGTATCAAGGCCACTCGACCACTGACCAGAGACAAAAACTAAGTCCAGAGTGTGTCCACCCGTGTGAGTAGGGTCATGAATTAACTGAGTAAGGTCCATGGCCGTCATGGAAGCCATGAACTCTCGAGCCACCTCAGATGTTTCACCGATAGATGGCAGGTTAAAATCTCCCATGACTAAAAGTCTGGGGGTATCAACCACCACCTCGACTATGACGTTGAGCAGCTCGGGCAGGGCCGTTGCCACGTGGCATGGAGCCAGGTACAGATCAACAAGC